CTGGCCCGCCGCCATGTTTGTCCTTACGAGTTTCGAATTGAGTAGTTAGAGCAACGCCCCAGCAGACTCCCATGTGAACTTTATGAAAAGATATGAATAGAACCCTGTCGAGCCAGCTTTGAGAATAGGTGCGAGGTCTCGAGTTTTCCCGTCAAATATTTAAAATTGTGACCTTCTTGTTTCTTTAATGGGCTCTCAAGTCTGACAAGAATGTTCCGTGGAGTTGATCTTAATACACTACTGGTATCCAATAACTCAAGGCGAGGACTTGTGGCATGCGAATAGTAATGTCCGGATCCCTGGGTTGGTATTAACATTACGACAACTGACTGGAGTTTAGATGTAGAATGATCCGAGGGAAGGAATGCTCTTGCTTCCATGCTTTAACCTACATGATGCCGAATTCTAGAAGACAATAGCACCAATCATAGGAACTCAGGTACCATTTCCATGAGATGGACATTGGACATATGGCTAGCTAATTCGTCAGAAACCTTCGAGTCAGATAGCTGGCTCATATTTGTGTATGCCTTGATGCGCATGTGGATCTTCTGTCCTTCTCGACACTGGTTTGTCGCATCCTCGCCTGTCTTTGTCGCTGGCGAGTCTTCACCAACATCTTGGGGTGGTTCATTAATCCATCGAACTTTCCAGTTCGACGTGCCCCAGTGCCCAGAAACTGTGTCTTTGGGGTGGGTTACTAATCAGCTAGAGAGCAGCATCCTCCATTCTGAACCTTCGCTCTCGCTGCATTCTCGTCTTCGTTGAATTGGAAATTGTGCACCCTGCCCATGCCGTAGATGCGGTGGCCTGGTTGCCCTAATAAGCCAGAATAGAGGGGGCTTTTGTTCAAGGCGTCGTCGCCACTCGTTCGAGTCAGAGGCTTCAAGGTCAAGTGCAGTTGTCAAGCTCTCCTCCTCCCATCTCTAAGATCCGTGTGTGTGTGGGGGGGGGGGAGGGGGCATCTCGTATCCTGGGGCACTGTACTACTGCCTGCAGTGATCACAATGTCATCCTTGAGTTGAAAGCCTACCGAGCCGCTGTAGAGATCGTTGTATTATCACCAACCCCAAATCTACAAACTGGAATGGCGAGACAGAGAACCCAGAGCTCGATGCAATAAATTGCTTTGGTTGCAGAACAGAGCAATCGGCGTTCAAAACCCATCAATCCCGTTCCCAGAATTTAGGTATCCAGTCCAGGAAATCACAGGAGACGCCGAGTCGCATGATGGCACTTGACTAAGCCTGTTCCTGCATTGTGGGAAAACCTTAAGGCTGAGGTGATCTTGGCAATCGGCCTTTCTCCGAGAGGTCGGCCTCTGGTTTTACGATTAGTCGGCGGCGCTGCGGACAGTCCCGTTCCCCGGACTCCGTGAATCGGCCGACATGGTGTCGTGGGAAGCCTAGCAAGTCATGACCAACAGAAATACCGATGCCGCTTCAGGTCGGCCTTGGAAGGGGTTTCATTGGCTTCTTCCATCAACGCATGAAAGGGCGCGCCTAATCCATGAAGTATCAAGTCGCAAATACACCGCTGCCAAGGCCCCCTGTCAGAAGTTTGAGTCCTTGGGGGGCTGGGTTAAGCTTGGTAACTAAAAATTCCGTGATCCGCCGGCGGCTAATCCCCCGAATGAGCCTATTTTGGAGGTGGGCAGCGGTCTAGAATGGCTGCTCGAGTCAGTGAGCATACTGTCTTTAGCAGCCTGTCAGCACTTTGTGTTGTAAGCGAGGAAGCATGCTGTTTCAGGCCAAGCCCGCAAACTCCGACGGAAACAACCAATAATTTGTTTCGGGTGGCCTTTGATGGGAAACCCGAAAAGATGGACAGACTTTCTCTAGCGGCTATGATGCGATTCCAAGGTAGCAAAGGCCTGTTGACTACTACAAAGAGGGTTGGGTAGATCATCTTCTCAGAACAATTGTCAACATGACCATTCACGTATGCTATCTGTAGAACATGTCGATTTGTTGAAGAAGATTAACGGGCCACCACCTTCTTCTTTTGGTTCCACATGGCTCGTCACCCAGAATAGCATGTTGTAAAACCACTTTACAAAATAGCACACCATCTCTCGTATATGTCGTCCGTTAAGGTCACCCGGTCTCACATGGGTACATAGTCTTAACATGGGGCTCTTGGGCCATTTAAGGTATTCAGTAGGGCTGGGTGCGTGTGGGGGGTGTCACATAAGGTACACAGAGGGGCAAAGTGCCAAGAAACAAAGCATTGAGTGACTGGCCTTGACATGTTCAGCTCTTTACTGCATGGTGAGGTAGTATCGTTCAGCTTTACATAGCAGAAACAGGTAGGTAGTATTATCGGCCTTGGTCAGATTGACCGGCCGCCGAGCCGCACCACCCCAAAACGGCCTGGAGATGGTCTTGGGTCAATCAATATGAGATTCACGAAGCCACCTAACCGAAGGGTGTTCGGACGTCACGAGCAATCGAAACCCGCGCCGAGAGTCCGGTAAGACTAATGACCTTGTCTTCATTGCCTTATAGGGCCTTCAATAAGACCTTCATACTTTTCCCCTGATTATTCACTGCCCCCAATACGGAGTCTTGAATGTCAAGATCAGACAAGCCTCAATCTCGGGAGGCTTGGTTAAACATCGTGGCCTGGCGACTGGTTGGCCTTAATGTCACTCACGGCCCTCAACTTGATCAGGCCGACTAAAAACGTCTAGAAGTTTGTTTAATTGCTATTCTCAACGTGAGACGAGGATTATAAATTCTTAGCTGCTTGGCAGATGTTTTGGTGATCTTCAAGACAGTAATCAAGACATCATATAAGCAAAGCATCATCATCATCAGATATCCAAGTATAAAGAGCAAGCGGTCGTCCCTTTCCAAAGCTATCTTTTCTTCTTCACCCATAGCATCACTTTCCTTCCATTCACTCAGACTCAACTTTCATTCGCTTTACAGCACACCCACATTCACTTTTCAATCATTTGATTTCCAACTTTCACAATGGTTTCTTTCAAGGTCTCCAACATCCTGGCCCTTGCCGCCGCCGTTGCCGCCGCGCCTACTGAGCTCCTTCAGTCCCGTGCCGTTGTGGCTCACGACGCCATCAGCCCCGTCGCTCAGAGAATTCAGACTGGCGGCCTCGGCAAGGTCATCGAGACCTTCAACCCCCTTCTCCACATCGCCCACGGTTGCCAGCCGTACCCCGCCGTTGCAGACAACGGTGACACCAGCGGTGGTCTCCAGGATACCGGCAGCTCCACCGGCGGCTGCCGCGATCAGTCCAAGGGTCAGACATATGCCCGCGCTGGCACAGTCGACGGCAAGACAGTCATCATGTACTCTTGGTACTTCCCCAAGGACCACCCCACCGGCGGTGATGTCGCCGGAGGCCACCGCCATGACTGGGAGAATATTGTCCTCCAGATCGACGACCCGGCCGCGGCTACCCCCAAGATCATCGGCGGAGCTGCCTCCAGCCACAGCGGTTACAGCAAGTCAAACGGCGCTCCTCCCATCGACGGCAACAGCGCCAAGGTCGAATACTTCACCACCTTCCCGACCAACCACGAGCTCCAGTTCACTCAGACCAAGGGCAAGACCTACCCCATCTCCGACTGGGATGCTCTCCCCGCCGCCGCCAAGACCTCTCTTCAGAACGCCGACTTTGGAAAGGCCAACGTTCCCTTCAAGGATGGCAGCTTCGAGAGCAAGGTCCGCGAGGCTCTCAAATAGATGGGCATTCCACACATGGCACCACAGCTTTATGGGTGCTCCTTTACGACTTTTATGAGTGTGTTTTTTGGTCGACCATTGTTGCGAATTCGGGGTCATTTTGTTTTTTTTAGCTAGCTATTTCTGATTTATCTTCCCAATACTATGAGTCTGAGTTGTTCTTCCGAAGTTTTGAAATCTTTCTTCAGTTGACAGCGTCCTGTTGTGACATGCTGAACACTAAGGCTTCATCATGAGTGTAATGCATGCCAAGTACCTATAGGGTTCTTTGAGTTCTTAAACTCAAATTCCCTTATCTATGATGTTCTAAATTTTCAACACAGTGCCTTCAGCCATCTTACTGCTGAATATGCCACTCCGAGATCTTGAAGTGCCAGTATCGATGATCAAAGGCTCATGAATCGCGAACAGCTTTTTCTGCCCTCCATTGAGTTTCTGCGCCGTGCATGAGACGCGAGATGGCCCGACCTCTCGGGCTGTATCCACCTAACATATGGAATGTCCAACGCGTAGATCCGTTATCTTGCCGATCTCAGACGGGAGTCGATTGACTTTAGTTAATTTATTTTCTGCTCACTCTCTCCGTAGATTTGATGCCGAACAGTTAAAACAAAGCTTTCAAATGTCCGATATCGTAATCTGTCTCTTCACGTAATACTTAACGAAAAATGACCTTGACAACAGCCAAACTCTAGTATTTCATTTTGATCACACTTAACTAAAACAAGTTTTGTCTTGCCAAGGAACTCGTCTGTATCTCTTTTTCGGGCTGGATGGACTGATGTGGCCTCTATTCCTGACTAGTCGTAAAATGGGATCATCATGGCTGAAAAACTTACAAAAGGTAGTCTTATCTGGCATCTTTTCATAGCTGTATTAAGCTTCGCTGCTCTTTTATCACAAGACAGTTCTTCCGACTTGCTCGGTCCAGTTGATATATTCGAATAATCACAATTGATTAGGCGCTTGATTCGTTGAACATTGATAACAATCTGGCATGAGCTATTTTTGAAAATTCCGCAAACCGATTATTGCGGTGAACAAATGATACTGGTTGTCACATAGCAGTTGAACACCGTCGGCTCGATCTTTACTAACGCCGAGAACGTCAATTTACCATGGCGGATGGATCTGCGTTTTCCAGCGAGTCAGAGCCACCTGTCATCCCATCTTCGGCGGAGATGTTGAGGTCCTCTTATTTCACAACTTCACCGACCGTGTTGAAGCACGGCACTAGACGCATTTGTTGAAACCCACAGATTCGCTTCCAAAACCCCATGATTTTCTAAGATGGCCATCAGTAGCGTAGTGGCCTACAATGCGGCCGTCTTCGTCGGCACCCTCTTCCTCCTTGAGGCCGGCGCCGACAAATTCGTGGACCACACGGCCATCGTCGCTCGGCGCACCGGCATCCCGGACACCCTTATCGCACTAATCACCGCCGGCGCCGAGTGGGAAGAAGTGAGTGCGGCCTCATTCTGTCTTTTTGTCATCTCGCTACCACATCATCGTCTTTACGGAGAGCAGTCTAACACTAAACCATCTTCAGCTTGCTGTGGTTGTCAGCGCGTTGGCGCAAGGCCGCGCCTCGCTCGCCCTCGGGAACATTGTCGGCTCAGCCATCTCCAACATCCTCGGCGCCTTTTCGCTAGGTCTCCTTTTCCGCAAGCAGGGCGATGCGGTGCAATTTGATCTTAGCGCTCGCATCTACTCGCTGCTGTTGCTCGGCGTGACGACCGCCATCATCCCAGTCACGTACATGCCGCGTGAGCTCCTTTGGCGAGTCACCGGCATCGTCTTGATTGTCACATTTGCCGTCTATCTACTCTCAATAGGATGGGCAATCAGCCGGGGAACGCTCGTTGCACCGGAAGGCTCAGACAGCGATAGCTCCAGCGATGAAGATGATACCTCATCCATTTCTTCAGACTCCTCCATTTCTTCTCGAGGAAACAGCCGCGCTCCTATATCGCCGTCACAAGCTGAAACACAGATAACCGACGTAGAAGGCGAGCAACAACCCCTCCTCCGTCCCTCGGAACGGTTTTTAGGCCGCCGCCGCGGGTTAATCTACCACATCGCCAACCTCATCGCTGGCATCCTCGCCATCTGCCTATCAGGCTACATCCTCTCCCACGCAGCAACCAACATCTCCGACGCCCTTGGCGCCTCCGAAGTCCTCTTCGGCATCGTCGTCCTCGCCATCGGCACAACCCTGCCGGAGAAGTTCATCGCCGTGCTCAGCGGGCGGCGCGGGCATGCTGGCATCCTGGTTGCTAATACAGTGGGCAGCAACGTCTTTCTGCTGACGCTGTGTCTGGGTATCGTCATGGTGGGCACGGAAGGGGCGCTGGGGAGCGCGGGGAGCGTATCAGGCGCTGAGTTGGCTGTTCTTTGGGGTAGTACTGCCTTGTTTACGGGGTCGATGTGGTTAAGTGGGAGTGTTCAGCGGGTGGTGGGTGGTATTATGTTGATTGGATATCTTGGGTTTATTGTTGCGGAGTTTACTGTGTTGCGTAGATCGGGAGACTCGTAGGCTGATCACTTTCCGAGTCGTCTGTAAACAAAGTGGGTTCGTGACGATACTGTAGGATGATTGTAGGCCTTCTTTTCTTCGTCTGAATTATGGTGGAATCTCAGAATGGTTCTTCGGAGATTATCTTTCAGAGACAACTGCGTCAACCATCTCACCCAGCTGTTTCTTCATCCATGGAACAGACGATAGAACCACCTTTGTCTGAACTACCTGTAACTCGGCGTTGGCAACGAGCTGCTTCGCTGCTTGGGTACCCAAGGTAGCAACCCATTTGACCGGTCAGTTTTCAGCTCCAAGGTGGTGTTCACAAAACACGCACTTCAGGCAAAACCTGTCTTGGCATAACCATCGTCAATTGCCAAAGGAGCTTTCCCCCCTTCAAGAGGTCGACTCCTCTTTGACCTAGCACTAGGTTGTGTTCCATTGGTTAATTCTACACCACAATGCCATCAAATCTGTTGGTGTCAATGATAATAATGTAGCCTTACTTGGACTAATTCTGGTAATCTGCCGTTTCAAAGATCAAGTTCGCCCGGCACACAGGAAAACTATGCCACCGCGAGACTATTACAATTCAACTGTTGTTGGTCTGCTCATCATTCTCAAGACTATTCTCCTCTAGATTAAATGTGGGATGTGTACACTTCAACGTAGCATCGGAACTTCCGATATATGAAGACCTGGTAAATGTCTGCAGGTAAACATCCGGTTGGCCCATAGAGAGAGCCTTGTCTTGGCGCCTGCCCATTTCAATTTGAGTGCCCCCAACTCGTGTTGAACGTTTTGGTAAACTGCCGTTTGTGGTAGCTTCTTAATCAATTATGGCATAAAACCTTTTCTTGGAAGATGAAAGAGGCAATAGGCTAAATCCCCGCAAACTCGGTAGTTGAACAATACGACCAGCCAGCTGCGGCATGCTCGCTTGGCCGGCGCGAGCCGTAATTCTAACTGCGTTTAAAGATCTGACAGTTTTAGCTTGTGTCTTCATAGTTTTTGGGTATAAATGGAGCGTTCAAGCGTCTTCGAAAAGGAATGATAAAAGGCCTACAACTCAAGCCACCAGGAAGTCAAATCACCACACAATCTAGACCAACCAAAACAGTCAAGGACACTCGCAATGAAGTCCATCATCATCGCAGCCGCCATCTCGGGCGCCCTCGCCTCCCTCAACTGCACGGCCACAGCCGATGTCAAGACTTACTGCTGCCCGGACACCAAGTCCGAGCTCGTCAAGACTGGACCCGCGGGTGCCCTCATCATGATGGGTTGTGCGGCCGACAACACCAATAAGTACATCGCAGTCCTCCGGACCATGAACAATAGCTCTGAGAGTACTGATGAGAAACAAGGAATTGGTACTGGAACTACAACGGCCTCTACACAGCCTACTCGACCCAATTTAAAGATTGCTACCTCAACACCATCCCATTCAACGACCTCAAGGGTAAGCCCAACCAAATTCCTACAAATCCAACGCCTGCACCATCATATGCCTGGACACAAAAAGCACTTGCTAACAATATGTTCCCCGATCACATAGTCCTCCCCGACTGCAAGGACGATACCTACGTCCTCGACCTTACCCGCGGCAAGTCCGGACCCCTCGATAAATGTAACCCCAACTGCGTCAGCCAGAACAAGTTCCCGGCCAACACCTACTTTGGCGACCGGCAGAAGGAGACCAATATGGCGTCTGATTTCCCGCGTCCTAATCCCAGCCCGGGATGGCCTTGGGCTCGTAGAGGGCGCAGGGTCTAGACTTTCAGTGACGAGGCGGACAACCTTGAATTCGATGACATGGGAAGAGAGATGATCACGTGAAATAGCAATGAGTTTGAGCCTTTCTTTTAGCAAGTAGCGATATTGTTAAATTCAATTATAGTCGATCTTGCAGACTATCCAGCCTCTGATCCAAGTAAAGTAATGTCCAAAGACGGGGAATATCCAAGCAAAAATAGTCAACGCCGTACCGTTGCGGCAAATCCAGATCCAAATCCAAGCACAAAGGTATCAAAGACATGACGTCAAAAAGTCCAACCCACCACATCACTAATGAGCCGTCGAGCTCTCTCCTCCCCCATGATGCCCCGGCTTCAGCATCCTCTTCAAACTACTCGGGTCCTCCAACGCATCAAGCGCCTTCTGCGTCGTACTCTTGACCGGCTCACCATCATACCCAGCCTCGTCCATGTGCTCCAGCGCGCTCTCGTTGGAGCTGAGCGAGCTCGAGCTGGGACTCCGCGCCACCATGTTGATCATCTTGCCCTCCTTCTTCTTGGCCTCGACCTGCTCCTTCTTGAGCTTTTGCAGCTTCTCGTCCTCGCAGTGCATCACCACGATGCCCAACCCCGGGAAGTTGGCCTCGAAGAACTCTTTGAGTTTCGGCAGGATCGACTTGTCTGGTCGGTAGGTGCCCGAGTCGTTGTCGATGTAGAGCTGGTAGTACGAGGGATTATGCGGCGGGTGCTCGTTCGGCGGGCCGTTGGGCAGCTCGTCGCTAGGGTGCGTTCGTTCAGGCGGATCCGCCTCCTCCGACGCGTCGGGCTTCTCGAGCCGCCGGATGAAGAACTCGCCCGAGCAGGCAATGTATGTCTCGACGTCGCTGTGCATGGTATGCTTGCTAAGCATGTCGATGCTGAACTCCTTACCCGTCTCCGTAAACCGGAACATGCCGTCGAGCGTCAACACGTAGGTGAAGATGCGCCCGCCCTGGTCAAAGTGCACGAGCTTGAGGAACTGAAGCGCGGCCTCCTCGGAGCGGGCCTTGAAGACGCCGTACTCTGTCGAGCTGTCGAAATTGTAGACGCGGCTGTGCTGCTTGTGCAGGGCCTTGTTGAGAATGCGGCCGCGCAGGCCGCTCTTTGCGAACATGAGGCCAATCATGGGGCGGAACTCGACGTAGCGGTGGTAGAGCTCGGGAGGGACGGGTCCTGAGAGCTGCATCTCGTTTGATTGGAAGCTGTGATGGCAGTGTTAAGAGGTTGTGTTTTTGGTGAGATTCTCTCAGAAAGACTTACTCGTATTTCTGGGTCTTGTTGTCCTTTTCCTTGTTTTCTGGTTCGTCAAACAAGTCGGACCGGCCATCATTCTCCTCATCTCGGTTGACCTTGATACCAGTAAGACGCCCAATCATTGGACTAAAGTGCTTAAAGTAGGTGGTGGGCCCAAGGGTGCACATCTGCGCATGTGGCGGATCAGACTGTCCGAGGAGCTCCATACTAATCCACAGCCTGGGGGACATGTCGACGCGCGGATCAAAGTGGCTGGTGATGGCCTTGACAAAGTAAGCCCGCTTGCTGCCCATGCGCTTCTTGGCCGTGAACTCCTGGCCGGGGCGCGGGTAACCCTTCCAGTCCGGACCGACGTGCGGGACCCTGACGGTGACGTTGCCGAGACGATCGTCGTGGTCGGGCCAGTCCTCGTCGTAGAGGCGGCATTTGAGGATGAAGCCGTCGGCAGGGACGTTGGCCACCACCCACTCGGTATCCCAGACGGGCTCCGTCGTCTTCCGGATGGTCTGGGTACGTAGGGTGAGGTCCGGGTCCTCCTTGTGGCGCTTCGGGACGGCGGCGCGGAGGGTGACGTGGATAAAAGGGTCGGAGGACTGGGTGCCAATGTCGGCGGCGGGGAGGTTGGTCGCCTTGTGGAAGATGAATCGCACGGTGTAGCCCGGGGGCGCGTCGGGTAAGGGTGTCGGATCGAAGCCGCCAGAGGGCTTGGTCTTGTCCTTGACCTTTTCTTTACCCTCGGAGTAGAGGCCCTTGAGATCGCTAGAGTGGTGATGGGGCTTCTCGTTGGGCGGCTTGTGACCGTTAGCATCCGGGTTCTGTACGCCCTCGATCTTGTTCTCGAGGGCAGCTCCCTCGCCGTGCTTGGGCTCATGCTCGTTGGTTGGCGGCCCACCGTTTGTTGTTGATGGGACTGTGCCATCATTAATCTGCTGGTTGGCGGTGGCGGCGGCGGCGGCGGCGGCGGCGGGCGCGCCGTTGGGCGAAGGTGACGAGTGCCCGTTCAGGTCCGGCGCATCGTGGGTAGTAGCATTGCCGTTGAGGGCCGCCGGGGCGTGAGTTGTGCCATTGGGTGCGTGGCCGTTTGTCGTGGGACCGTCGGCTGCGGTGCCATTCACCGTGTGACCGTTGAGGTTCTCAATCGGCTCAGAGGTTGCTGTTGTTGTCGAAGGCTGAGCGGCGCCGAAATCTGTTGGTGGCGCCGAGGTTGCGGCGGCAGAGGTGGACGGGTCGGCGGAATGTGGGTGGCCGTTGGGCCTTTGTTCGTCGGCGGCCGACATGGTGAGGACGATGATTATAGTGCGCGATGGAAATAAGAAATATTGCGATTGGAATTACGGAAGGATATCTGCGATCGCGACACAGACAGCGACAGCGACAGAGATGGTGGCTTGAAATGCGCCCGTCGGGGGAGGCCGGAGGAGGCGTTGGGAACCCCGGCAAGTGTTGGCTTGCGGAAGAGACAAGTCCCTGTGTCTCTCGTGTATCTCTCTTTAATCTGGACAGATGCTGTAAGGCGCAGATGGAGCGAACAGAATAGCGCCAGATCCTGTCAGAAAAACCCTGCAGCGCCGCGGTGGCCGTTGCCAAGACCCGAGAGTGTCGATCACTCCAACTCGTGGAGGGGCAGCGCGCTGCGGTGTCTCTCTTCAGTGCGAGTGCGAGCTCTCAGTCACTTTCTCTCAAAGCTGGGCTGAGCTTCACTTTCACCGAGATGAGCTTGAGCTTCGACCGGGAACTGAGTTTGGGTTTTGGAGAGCTGTGTCCAATAATGTCTGCTGGCGGATCACCAAAAGCTTGGCATGGGGTCCGTGGTGTCCGCTTGCAAACGAAACGAAGCTTTGGCGGCGGGCGGGAGGAACGTTGGTTTGTTGAAGAAGATGCGCTGGCCGAGGTGACAAGGGGATTCGAGGTACTAGGTAAGGTAGATGGCGCTTATTCGTCTGTTGTGTCTGAGGCCAAGGGGTATCCAAAAGGCGAGCAATCAAGAACAAGATATGACGATGACAGAGAGAGAGAGTTGTTTGGAGGAAGGAAAAAGAGAAAAGAAGCTTTGAAATGGGAGGTAACCGGATGGAGCGAGAAGGAAGAGAAAGACTCAGACCAGGCCAGACCGGATCAGACAGACAAGACCAGACAGACAAGACGATGCGAGGGGCTGGGGGGGTAACAGAGACGGGGTCCGAGGGAAATCACAGGCCGCAATTCAAACCATCAAATTGCTCTCTTTTGGGTTAGACGTGATCCTTGACTCTTGAGCTACTGTGTGTAGGCATATTACGAATAGAGACTAGGACTCTTTTGCCAAAACAAGGGACCCTGCTGCACCCTGGCCACATCCTCGGCCTCTGTTCCCCCTGTATGTATAGATAGATCATCATTAGAGGAAAAGAGAGAGAGAGAAACCGAGCCAACATCTCAGCATCACACAATACTGAAGAATAAGATACCTACGGAACCCATAGAACCCATAGACGCAACAAGATCAACAAAGCGTCGCGAGCAACATGCAACTCGCGCCTGCGCCTGACGTCATGCCCCCCCTCCAAGATTTGGCGTCGAGGGTGCGGCTAGAAGATGCCGAAGCCGGGGTCATGCTGCCCAGCTGAGCCAATTGCCATCCTAATGTCGAGCCCCCATTCCGGCCATCAGCAAGCAGTCCACCATAAGTTCCTTGAGCCCTGAGCCTTGAGCCTTGAGACCATGAGGTAAAGTACAGTAAGCTCTCATGCGCCATAGCCGGCCAAGTCCGGGATGCTGCCGCCAGCATTCGCAGCGTTTCACCATCACGAGCCTTTTCCAACTTTGCCTTTCTTCCTTTCGTATTACCCTACAGTAAACTTGGTAAACATTGTGCCGCTCCCCTTGCATAGTAGGTACTGCAGTTGCCAGTGGGCGCCCACCGGGACCACCAGTACGTAACAAGACCAGCATCTGCGCAAATCTTATGTGGAGAGATGATGGCAATAACCAAGATAAGGTGGACAAGCGTGACACAAGGTCTCACCAGCTTGCCGACCACCCGGCTTCCCGTCTCTTTTTTTCTTTCTTTTTTTTTTTTTTTTGTCTTTTTTTCTGAGCGCTGCCAAGGTTAAGGTCGGACTACTTGATTACCTTAGCTGATCTGCCGCCTGGGGCCCTGCACTGCATTCCCGTCTCTGGCACACTCCGTTCCGATTGTCTCGGCGCTGCTCCACTGAAACTCGGCCAGGCCAACCCGCTCCGCTCCGGCGTCTTGTTTACGGCGACTCACATAGTATGAATGCTGATTGAGACGTCTGCCGAAGTTGAGGAATACCAAAGGAAAATTTCTGTTATTGATCTTTCAATGTCCAATTCTGTATTGTCAATTCTCGAGATCACATGGTTAGATGTTCCAACACATCCATCCCAAGTCAAAATAGTCAACTTCAAGTTGAATGGTGCATACCGTACTTGCCTGTTTATTCTCTTTCGCCTGAATAGAATATCGGAGCCTCAGGGCCACAAAAGCGTCTCAAACTTGCTCTAATACGTCTGAAGTCATCAGAGCAATAAAGGAGATGCCCATTTCATCTCCGAGTCTATCCAAGACACCATTCCTTTCTAGCCCAAACTCGAACTTTCGAGCTCATATCCACTGTTCCCAAATGTGATGTGCCCTGACCTCTTTCAATTCTATTCCCTAGAGAGAACTTAATCATTCGATTCCTGCTTAGGTGAAGGAAATCTAGATCTTGCCCCATTTCACTATCACTCTCGAACAACCTTCTTTACAAGTTCTTGCGCCCACTATTCTGGCCCTACCCCGAGATCTTCCCCCTACTAGTTGAACAACTCACTGAGAGGGAAGTAATAATGATAGTTCTCACCAATGCGAATAACTTCGCAACTAAATTCGAAATCATTTACCCAGATCAATTCCTGTCTACCGGTTCAGCCCTTCCCGGCGCCGGGCCCCACGGTGTCATGGATGAACTTCCGGGAGATCAAAATTTCCATCTTTCATCTGGACCCCGTCCTGTCATCCATCTAGCGCTGCCTGGCGATCACCTCTTCCAGCTGCCACTCTTTGAGACCACTCTTCTCACCTGGACCTTGTCCTGTCTCAAAGTCATGCCTCACTGTTATATTCACTGCCTAGTAACAGCTGGTGAGAGCTCATTCCCTCATCAGGACCCTTCTGCCCGCCTAGCGCTCGCCTTGGATCATGATCCATGATAATCTTCACTCCCTTATGGTGCCTAGCAACAGCCTTTGAACGCTCCCGCCATTAGAGATGACTTCACCCACTTACTACTCGCCCTGCACCTTGTCTCCATCTGTTGTTCACTACCTGCCTGCTCATCCTCATCACAGCCACTTCATCTATACCAGGTACCATGACGCTCCCTATATACTTGAGACGGATAAAATTCCCTTTCCTCCAGTCAAGTCCTCCAGTTACGATTGCCCCACTATAGCCTGTCAAAGCTCCCTTTCTCATCAATAGATGTTCACGATAGCTGTCTAGTCCTCACTCTTGCCCAAGATGTTTTTTTACTGCCTCGCAGTCACCAGTGGAATGATCTCCTGCTGGCATGGGAACGGGTCTTCCTGCACCAAATCAGTCCTTCAAAGCGGCCTCAGGATCAGCTCTGTCAGTCTTGTACCTTGCTCTCGCTTTATACCGTACCTGATGCTGTCACTCACTGCCTGGCAATAGTCCCGCGTAAGTCCCGCTCTTTGAGACTACCCCCCTCGCTCGGTCCTCTCCCTGTAAGGCTATGCGGGGTCCAGTGATTTTATTCACTACCTAGCAATATCCTTCAAATGTCCTCGCTCTTTAAGAACATTCCAACGACGTAGCTCTCGCCCTCCACGCCCTCCCAACTCTCTTCCTATCTCTTATGCTCCCTTTCTAATGCTACTTTTCTTGTACTGCCTCTACCTTACTGAAGTCTTCTCTTGCTATCTCTCTCGTCCTGTCTCTCGTATGCTATCTCTCTTGTGCTGTCTGTCTTATCCTATTACCCTCTTCTAACCCCCCTCGTACTGCTTTTCTCGTACTAGCTCTTTTACATCGTCTCTCTTTTTTTTTTCTTTTTTTTCTCTCTCATGCTATCTCCGTTTTTTATACTATTTCTATATCCCATACTACCTCTCTCTCTTATATTATCCTTTTACTTTTACTACCTCTCTCTTATACTATCTCTTTCTCTCTTACTACCTCTCTTTTATACTATCCCTTTCTTAAGTACTATCTATCTCTAAGGCGCTGTTTCCCTCTTAGGTACTGTCTCTCTTATCCGTACTACCTCTCTCTCCTGTGCTGCCTCTATCTCCCGTGCTGCCTCTCTGTTTCTCGTGCTGCCTCTCTCTCCTGTGCCGTCCCTCTCCTATTTTATCTCTTCTTTCGGTGCTGTCCCTCTCTTGTCCTGTCTCTCCTTTAGGTACTACCTCTCTCTCTTGTGCCGTTCCTCTCTTGTGCTATCCCTCTCTTGTCCTGTCTCTCCTTTAGGCGCTGCCTCTCTCTCTTGTGCTATCACTCCTTTAGGTGCTGCCTCTCTCGTCCTATCCCTCTTTCCTTCCTAGCTCCCGCCCCTTTAGATCTCGCCCTATCCCGTAGCCCATGATATTATCCACGACGAATACGGCGAGAGCTAGGCGGGGCCAGCGGTAATAAAGGGCTTTCTTTCCCTTTTAGCCTTGTTAATAAAACCTCTCCTTCACATCCCTATTAAGAAGTCCATTCAAGATGGACCAGCAGTACTACGAAGGTGAGTCTGCCAACCTTTCTTCCATTCTAGTCTTTCTGGACCCTTCGAGGTTTTATTGAGGGCATTGGGCCCTGATTCACTGCCTCTGATGCCTCGTCCTTGATCGCGGTATAAAAGGAGTCCTCTTTGCCCTCCTCGCAGCTCGATTCTTGACCAACAGACACCGGGCTCGCGGCCCCGAGGCCATGGCAGATAGGCCTTCCGTCATTTTGAGGCGCAAGAAATAATGCTGACCATGTATGATAGAGGAGCGCAAGCGCCTGGAGTACTACTGGGCAGACAGAGACAGAATGGCTGGTACAGATCAGTACGTCCCGTAAGTTCACCCCGTGAATCGCTCAAACACATCATTTTTCTAACCTAAGAAACACAGGCCCGAGAAAGCTTATCCCGTTGAAGTTCTGGCGGACCACAACGACATCGATGATCCCTGTCTTCACGACAATTATTACGATGCTGCTCAAGGTAGCCAAGAGAATCCGTTCTACATCGAGCCCCTAGGCCAGAACGTCGTGCTTCCCCAGCAAGCCAACAACGCCTTCGAGGGACCGTTCTCTCAGCAGGGCCAGAATGACGCCATTCAAGCCGAGCACTATCCTCCCATCGACCCCGAGCTCGAGAACCAGGCCATCATTGCCGCTCAGGCGGCCGGACACCCTCTCAGCGAGCCTCACACTGCTCTCGCGGGCGATTCCGTGCATCCGAACTTTAGCGACCCTCTTCCCGATTACATCTATGACTTTCAGGCTAGCGCTATGAACATGCAGCCAGGTCACGCCGGCCAGATCGACAACTTGCTCCAGGATGGCTTCAACCTCCCGTACCCTGACTTGGGCCCGGTCCCTGCACCTCCCGCCGGCTTTGGCGATCCCGCGATGTTCGTTCAAGAGCACGAGCAATGGCAGCATTACAACAACCAGGGATACGAGCGGTATGGGCGGCAAATGGTCGACATGCAGGCGCAGGAGATGCCTTTCCAGCACGTGCAACTCCAGTACCACCAAGATCAGCACAATGAGGACCAAGAGCATCAGGAGATGCCTAACCAGCCGTACTCGCAGAACGATGGATATCATATTCATGGACAGGGCCATCACGACCAAGATCTTCCCCAGCAGCATGATCACCACGTCTACCAGAACCTCGCGTTCAATCAGCGGCAGCAGGAGCAGCACAATCATGATCATAGCGGAGGTGCCCAGATCCAGCAAGACGACGCCCAGAACGCCGCCGCCGCTCCCAACCCGCTCGCACAGAACAATAACCCTCAACCCGCCGCCAACGCCCAAGCGCCTCGGGGCAGACGTGGAAGACGGTCGCATACCAGAACCATCCCGGGTTCCCAGTTCAACGACGGAACGCCCGACCCCAACCCCGACTACTATGGCCTGGAAAAGGTCTCTCCGAGACCCCCTTGCCGGGAGCTCCCGAGAATGGTGAATGGCGTCCAGAAGGTCGTAATCAAGTGTAATCGATGCGATAAAATTCTTTCCCGCAAAGATGAGATGCGGTGGCATCTCCGCCGCGACCATTATGGAAAAGAATGCCGCGAAGAGGGGTTCCATATCGAGAAGGGCCGCCAGCAGGCCCTTCTCGATTGCCCCAAGTAATTGTCATCAGGGTGGAAGAACTTGGGGTTGGTTCAGGAATTGGTTTGGTAGTTGAAATAAAGAAGTGTTGACTGAGAACTTAATAAACTTGATGTGATTTCTCGTAGACCCTCGTCAGTAGATTTAACGTTACGATTCGTCAGAGAATAAACAAAGCGTGACCGAGCGATCACAGAGGAGAGCAAAGGGGGTTCTAGTACTCCCTCAAAGACATTGTACTACGCAATCGACGCCCGGAGATCCTCTCGCTGAAGGGCGAAACGCGGTGGCATCTCCGCCGCACTCTTTACGGCGAGAAAGGGTGCCACATCGACAAGGAGCGCCAAAAGGCCCTTCTTGATTGCCCTTATAAAGGCAAAATGATCTGGGGTACTCGGTTATGATGAGTACGATGAGAAAGACGAGTAGGACATAAGAGTGAGCAGGCTCTAACGACTTGTTCCATTGTCCAGGAGATAGTGGCAAACTGACGCACGTCGAGATCACGCTCTTCTGCTTTGCCCCAGCGATGGTGAGTACTTGTCTCTTGGGCAAAGTGGTCTGGAGTACTTGAATGAGCTTGATAGTTGATGAATGAGTCTTGCTTAAGATCTCAACAAACTTAACCACTTGAGGTACGGACCGTACGGTAGACGCTGTGGAAGAGATGATGATCTAAGTGAGAACAAAGCATCAAATACACGAAGCTGGACCGAAGGCCCTAAGTGAGAACGAGAAGCAAGTGATTGATGACTTCAAGCTGTAGATGCTCTCCCTTAGGGCTGAACTCCACATCATGGACTAAGACCAACTCTACCTACTTCATGGATGCCATAGGAAAAGTTACCCTGAGCAGGACTTACTGGAATGTCTAGAGAATAAATCATGATGGCAAACGTAAGCAAAAGGTAGTTAGAGAAGCCAGAGAAATGGAAGGTCAGTCAATTGCATCAACCAAGATACTTCAATCTAAAAAAGATCCGAATAGTAATATCATACATACTTACTTTGAGTGTCCGTCAACCTCGGAAGCACATTCTACGTGAAGATTTGACAACGAATAGGCAAAGCGAGACTGAGAGATCATAGAGAAGAAACGAAGTTGAGGAAACGGGTGATGAAGACTGTAAGTTAGGTGATCTAGAAGGTCTACTTGCACAGAAACATCATCGAGTGTAATCGGTGCGATAAACTCCTCTCGCAAAAGAATGAGATGCGGTGGCACCTCTGCTTGTCACATTACGAGCAGAATGAGAACCGGGCAGTATTTAAATACCCAGGTAGAGAATGCCGTAGAAAAAAGGCTCACGAACAAATCCTGCTAGCATTGAGGGATTGCGAAGCTTAGCTAAAGGGGGACAAACTCCAGATGAGTCGATAGACTCAGGACAGACCAAGCAGTTACGGGCTATAACAGCAATGGGACTTCTGACGGTGCTGATCTGATGCTTTTTTGGCATGCAAGACTCGTCTCTAGCATGTGTAGAACCGGAGGATAGCTTCCAGTTCAGCTTATGTTTCCTGCACATCTCGTCTCCCTCGGGATTAAATGCTGAGAGAGACCAAAGAAGACATCAAGCCTGAGATCAGAACGTTGGAGGGTCTACCTCTGCTTTGCACTTGCCCGAGATATTCAGACAAACGTCAGATTCTTATTCTTAAAGGGAATCAAAGCTAGAATGACAGCATGGTGATAGTACGACGTCCGATCAATGACACCATCAGTCAACATGCCAACAGACCCCTTGCTCTGCTTATTATTCGTCTGCCCAAAGATCAAATCATCCGCATGTCCCAACTCCATACCCTGGCGCAGGTACGCAGCACTCTCCTCGGGGAGGTAATACGCGCCGGTCCTTGCCTTGCCCACCCGTCCGTCGCTGCTGATGACGACGATCCAGGCAAAGTTCATAATGGGGGCGTTCTGGTCGGCCGGCATGTCGATGCCGCCTTCGAGGCCGATCCAGTAGTCCGCGTCCTTTTCGGCTTCCTGGGCGTTGCGGGCCCGGTTCAGAGCCCCGCGGAGGGTCTCTTCATCGGAGAGGGGCTGGTCTGGGACGCCGGAGGGGACGCTGATGCCGCGGACGGTGTAGGTTGCGTCTGGAAGGGCGGATTCGAAACCGAGTTTTGCTGCTTGGACTTTGACTGGGTTTTTGGAGGCGACGATGATGGAGATGGGAGATGCCATGTTTGCGGTGGTATTTGGTGTTGTGATAGGGAATGACGCTGGCTGAGATGCTTGAGTTTTGCGGTCACAATGAGAGCCTGGAATGATTGGGGTATTTTGGTATTGAATCAACTGAAAAGTGAGGTTGCTATTGAATTTGCCATGAGATTTCTAGAGTTGAGGCGGAGAAAATGAGTCATCCGGGGAATACTTGGTGGAGCGAATGCTGTGGTTAGTACTCCGTAGATAGCTGCATTTTCACGAGGCTAAAGTGGGTGGATTTTGTCACTTTGAACGTCCAGTTGCAGCTTGCTGGAGACGCAAGTTGGAGACGGCGGACGGGAAGGTCGCAGGCACCCCTGGCCGCTGCCCGTCGTTAGGGGAGTGGAGTGGGCCCGAATCAAAGTTAAGGGGTAGCACGCTGCACGGGCCAGGGATTCCACAAGGCTGGGCCGATTCAATCAGCGACCGTCAGCGACCATGACCCCGAACGTTGGTAGCATTAGATAAGCAATCTTGGAGGGAGCTGGAGGGGAACCTGACCTGAACCTGAGGAGAAAGACAGACAGATGGGATTTTGAGGGGCCATTTGGAGCATTTGGGGGGCATCCATGGAATCTCACCACTGCGGCGGACTGCGCCAGGGGCCATGCGACAGGTGGCACTACGCCCAAAGTACGGCGACGGGATTGGTGGTAGCAAAATAGCCTCGTCTGACGACCCCTGCACCGTGGGCCGACCAAATATCCCCTTGGCTTCTTGAAAGTCTGAAAGATGAACCACCCCCTGGTCGAACCTATCGTCCCTCGCCGAGTCTCCCCTCCTCGTCGGTGATTATTTGGGGAGGGTTTCTTTCTGTTCCTGGTAAGCTCAGATAACCTAACCAAAAAGCTGCCAGAACGACGTGATTTCCGTCCGAGGTTTCGCATCCTCCTTTTGGCGGGAGATTCTTTCTTCTCTTCAATCCTTTCCTCACCACATAGCGTAACCTCTTTTGTCATCTTCTACCGTATTACCTACCTCTGCGCATATCTTGACTTTCGCAAACTCGCCCTCAAAGAGTCAAGCGACAGCCAATCGCCCACCATGGCGCGGAGACAACACCTCACGCTCATGGTCCTCCTGGCCGTCGTCGCCTTCTTTAGCGTCTCGTACCTCTTCTCAAGCAGCACCAGCGAACCTTCATCGCCCGCGCCCCCAGCCGCCGCCGTACCCCTCAAGGGCGACTCCGTATCATCGAGCGGCGACACCCCCGATCTTGGCCACATCTCGAGCAGCATCCTGTCCGGCGAATCCATCGCGCCCAAGTTGGAGAATGCGACGGCAAAGTAAGCCTCCCGCCCTCTTGCATGAGAAGCATACCCACCTCCCGGGCCGTTCCCTCGGGTCTTCTTGGTCCTCAAGGTTGTACTAACACACTCTCCTCCCGTAGAGCCGAGCTCGGCCGCGCCTCGTGGAAGCTCTTCCACACCATGATGGCCCGCTTCCCCGAGAAGCCCACCCCCGACGACAGCCTCGCCCTCAAGACGTACATCCAGCTCTTTGCCCGCCTCTACCCGTGCGGAGACTGCGCCTCCCACTTCCGCAAGCTGCTGGCAAAATACCCGCCCCAGACAAGCAGCCGTAACGCTGCCGCGGGCTGGGCCTGCTTCGTACACAACGAGGTCAACACCCGGCTGAAGAAGGAGCTGTTTGACTGTAACAAGATTGGCGACTTTTATGACTGTGGCTGCGGTGATGAGGACAAGAAGAAGACGGAGGGCGGTGGTGATAAGCCCAGCGCTGAGCTGGCCAAGGACGGGTGAGTTGCATTGCTTGTGGCAGCGTCTTACGACTACGACTGAGCTTTGCTTGCTGACACTTTGACAGTCTGACCAAGGGAGGTTAAGGTACTGATTGATTGACATGTTTTGGATATCCGAGGCGCATGATTGTTGTACCATATCTATAAGAATACCTGTATAAAGAAGCATTTGTCTGGGCCGGTGTTGTAAATGACCACCGGATCCAGCGGACCATGTTAATTCGAACGTTTAGACACATTTTCTTTGATCGATGTAGGAACGGGAATCTTCTATATTGGGTTCAAATTTCACATTCCAGTATCGATGATATCTCTATCTGAGAAGCTCTCGTTCTTACGTGGGGCCCTCTGGCATAGCTGTCAAGAGCTGGTGATAGGGCGGTACTGTGACCTCAACGCCTATGCCAAGCAAGCCTTCTTGCACATAAGTGTATGAACGTTTCAAGCAGACGGAATAATTTCCTAAACTGAAATGAGGTCAAATCAACTCAAGTCCTCAAATGCGCCGATGCCATCGTCGTGACTGTCACCAAAGACTGGATTATGTCATCAGTCACGTGATCTCTCCAAGCGTCCCGGGGCGGGCAAGGCCAACGCGTTCTGGAGCTGCCTGAGCTTCGTCAAGCTCCATTCAGCCTTCCACCGACGACACATCAAACCAATCCACCCCCCTTCGATATCTACGCCGAAACCTCTCTCCTTCCCCCAATCTCCAATCCTCGACGAACCGAATCCGCAAACGAAGTAACGAAATACACACCAAACGCAACTCATCAAAATGGAGTTTACCACCACCGGACAGCTCAACGAAGGTACGGGCGGGCAGAAGCTTGGATGATGCTATTGCGGGACCATACATACCAGAATGGAACTATGAAGCTGACGATTGCGGGTGGACAGATGGCATCCACATCGACATGGAGAGATTAAAGAAGGGAGAGGTCAAGTGAGTGAAGATCCTCTCAGTCTAGCATCAGAGCCTCAGCTAACCAATGTCAAAGCCTCGGAACCTCAATGTAAGCTACCCCTCCGATCGCCCCTCCCCTCCCG